CCCGTAGTTTTTGGTGAATTTTGTTACGTACAGATAGCTCCACATGTGCTCAGCCAGCAAGGAGTCTGTTAGTAGACCCTAGTTACCGACCCTGATTTTCCCATTCTTTGAATTGGCAGGAAAATTAATGCCATTGCTATTGATACTGTTATTATTGTTATTGATGTTATAATTATTGAATTGTCATTAGAATATTTTAGACAATTAAATGATCCAAAAAACCCTTTCCTAAAGTGAAGGAAAAGTGTAAACAGGTGAAATAGGTAGTTTATGATAACTGGCTATTTGGTGATAAAGAACTTGTGGAGCCATCTATATGTAAATACAATAAATAAACATGTATCAAAGTGGGTATGGCATCTATTCTTGCCACGTGGGGCGAATGGGTTAAATATGTATATATATATTATATATATATATATATTAACCCCTTGCCAACGGGCATGGCATGTACATACAGGCCATGCCCACTGTGAGTCGACTTGTTTGATTGTTTTTACACATAGCTGGCTGCACTTGTACTAAGTCACCAGTGAGCCAATTACGAGTACTGCCTGTCTCGCCCGTCCACCCTTTTCATCGATTTACGAAAATATCTTATTTTGCTGTTAAAAATAACACCATCTATTTTTATAGCACTAGTAAGAATACGTTTTTTTCCGCCAATTCAAGGAAAAGGGGAATCAGGACTAGGAGAGCCATCTATGTACAGAGACATTTCACAAAAATATAAAAAATGAGTACAGCATTTTCCCCATTTTTTATTAATTTTCCCTGTTAGGGGAACCTATTAAATTGATACATCCATGCAGTGAGGATGTTGAAGATACAGAGAGCTTTATATGCCTTGGGAGCGTAATCCATGTCTCTGGGCTGTCAGACGAAAGAGTCAGTAGATGGCAGTACCTATGCAGAAGGACCAAGCTAGGTCTTGATACTGCCAGTTTTGCTAAATAGAAGTGAAACCAGGATACTATCTAGTGCCATGGAGTGTTGTCTTGATTCCTTTTGTAACAATTCCCTCCACTGGATCATGGGGTACAGTTGGCAGGACTACGCAGTGAGAGTGGCATGGGACCTGTTACTTTCATAATTGGGTACTGCTCGTTTTCCTTGGACAACGCTACTGATCAAGTACTGATCCTGGTTGGAAGAGGCCCCTGTGATGACCTAGGAGGTCATGGCTTGGGCAGCTTAACTAGTCCTCTCATGAGGAGTTAAAGATGGTTAAGGGCCTGCCTGGAGACTTGCCATCTCTGGAAGTGAAGGGTGGGTGCAGCCACGTGCCCTCATCAATGTTAACCCCCCATTGATGATGGTATATATTTATATAAAATATATATTCGATGAATATACATATATGTATATTATCATCATCATCAAGGGGCTAACGCCGATAGGGGCACATGGCTGTATCCACCCTACACTTCCAGCCACAAGGGTCTCTCTTGGCAAGTGTCCAGGCAGGCCCTCGGCCCATCTATAACTCCTTGTGGCAGATCTTGTCATGCTGCCCAAGCTGTGACCTCCTACGTCGTCCTAAGGGCCTCCTCCACCTAGGAATGTCTAACAGAGAGACAACCTGGTTGACAGGGTCATCAACAGAAAAATGAGCTAGGTTCCTATATACCCTGAGTTGGTGATCCCAGATTATGCAAGTATCAGGTCCCATGCCAATCTCATGGTGTAGCTGTTGGTTGGACACATGGTCCAACTGCCAACTGTACCCCATGATCCGGTGAAGAGACTTGTTACAAAAGGCATCAAGACAAGACTCCAAGGCACTAGAAGCGTCCAGGTTTTGCTTCCATCAAGCAAAACTGGCAGTATCAAGGCCATGAAGACTCGTAGCTTGGTCCTTCTGCATAGGTACCGACATTTCCAAATGCCCTTATTGATTGAGTTCATGGCTCCTGCTGCCATAAATAGATATGGACTACACTACCAAGGTTTGTAAAGCTCTCTGTGACTTCAATGTATGGTTTGATCTTGAAAACAACAAAAGATAGATGGCAGTGGAAGGTCATGATCACCAACGTTCTGGAAGGACATGGTACTTAGAGAGAGAGAGACTTCAACGTCCTCACCACAAGCACACATTGACTGAATGGGTTCCCCTAACAGGCCCCTGAAGTCCTGAATCTTGGTCTTGGTCCAGGAGACCTCTAGGCCCAAGGGCTTTGCCTCATTGCTAAATGTATCAAGAGCCACCACCTGTGACTCCAGGGACTCAGATAGGATAGCAATATCATCGGCAAAGTCAAGACCTTGGTATTGCCCTGTGTTGCTCCACACTCACTTTGGGTAGTAACTCTGCCCATTATCCAGTCCATGCAGGTGTTGAAAACTGATGGTGCAAGGACACAGCCTTGCCTCACCCCTGAATTAACAGAGAAGAAGTTTGACAGGCTTTACAGAACTTTTAATACCAGTATATGGGCTTGCTATTAGACAAAAAATCCATGACAGAATCTCCCATAGCGATTCTCAATGCACAGAGTCAAATACCTTCTTGAGGTCAATGTAAGCTGCATGCAGGCGTACGCCAATAGGCTCTTGTGAGTTCCATGAATCTATCCAAGTGAAACACCCTTGAGTGGCTACTGGAAGGACGAGGTGTTTTGAAGTGGACCTGTAGGGTAGCCACTACCAGCTTATGGTCAGTGCCACAGAACTCGGCACTCCAGTAAACTCTGCAATTCTGGAGGATCCTCCATCCAGTGTTGACAAAAATGTGGTCAATCTCACAGTACCCATACTACTATAGCATGTCCAGCGATACCAGGAGCCAGAAACGCTCATTCTGTGGGACCTAGCAAAGTCCCGGAGGAAGTGGCTTTTCTTTCTGATGGGATCAGCTCCCAAGTCATGGTGGCTGACAAACATCTCATAGCCAGCTCATTCACAGCCGGATGCCACACTGAACAATGAGAATTTCTCACTGGGGGCAGTTGTCTGCCACGGAGGTGAGTTCTTTCACATCGAATCACACACACATGAACACATACACATGAACACAAACACACATGCACACGAACACACACACTCATGCACACACACACACACATGCACACACACACACATGCACACACACACACACATGCACACACACACACACATGCTTACACACACACACACATGCACATACACACATGCACATACACACATGCACACACACATTTGTATTCACACATGCTGATATTTGAATAATAAAAATGTTGTTTCTGAACAGTGGTCCAGCATCCAAGGTCACCTTCAAGATTATTTTGGCGATGCTGTGTGCTTTGATTGGTGCCTTCTTCACCTTCCCAGGACTTAGACTTGGAAAAATGCACTGGGATTCTCTGAGGTATGTGGTTGAATCTCACAGTTTTCTGAGATGTGCAAAGTATGTGATTACCCCATAGGGTAAGAGAGAGAGAGAGAGAGAGAGAAATGGATAGATATATAGAGAGAGAGAGAGAGGAAGGGATACAGAGAGCGAGAGAGAAAGGGACAGAGAGAGCGAGAGAGAGAAAAGGACAGAGAGAGCGACAAAGAAAGGGACAGAGTGAACAAGAGAGAAAGGGACAGAGAGAGCGAGAGAGGAAGGGACAGAGAGAGCGATAGAGGAAGGGACAGAGAGAGCGAGAGAGGAAGGGACAGAGAGAGTGAGAGAGGAAGGGACAAAGAGAGCGAGAGACAAAGGGACAGAGAGAGTGAGAGAGGAAGGGACAGAGAGAGCGAGAGAGGAAGGGACAGAGAGAGGGACAGAGAGAGCGAGAGAGAAAAGGACAGAGAGAGCGAGAGAGGAAGGGACAGAGAGAGCGAGAGAGGAAGGGACAGAGAGAGCGAGAGAGAAAAGGACAGAGAGAGCAAGAGAGGAAGGGAAAGAGAGAGCGAGAAAGGAAGGGACAGAGAGAGCGAGAGAGGAAGGGACAGAGAGAGCGAGAGAGGAAGGGACAGAGAGAGGGACAGAGAGAGCGAGAGAGAAAATGACAGAGAGAGCGAGAGAGGAAGGGAAAGAGAGAGCGAGAGAGGAAGGGAAAGAGAGAGCGAGAGAGGAAGGGACAGAGAGAGCGAGAGAGGAAGCGACAGAGAGAGCGAGAGAGGAAGGGACAGAGAGAGCGAGAGAGGAGGGGACAGAGAGAGCGAGAGAGGAGGGACAGAGAGAGCGAGAGAGGAGGGACAGAGAGAGCGAGAGAGGAAGGGACAGAGAGAGCGAGAGAGGAAGGGACAGAGAGAGCGAGAGAGGAGGGGACAGAGAGAGCGAGAGAGGAGGGGACAGAGAGAGCGAGAGAGGAGGGGACAGAGAGAGCGAGAGAGGAGGGGACAGAGAGAGCGAGAGAGGAGGGGACAGAGAGAGCGAGAGAGGAGGGGACAGAGAGAGCGAGAGAGGAGGGGACAGAGAGAGCGAGAGAGGAGGGGACAGAGAGAGCGAGAGAGGAGGGGACAGAGAGAGCGAGAGAGGAGGGGACAGAGAGAGCGAGAGAGGAGGGGACAGAGAGAGCGAGAGAGGAGGGGACAGAGAGAGCGAGAGAGGAGGGGACAGAGAGAGCGAGAGAGGAGGGGACAGAGAGAGCGAGAGAGGAGGGGACAGAGAGAGCGAGAGAGGAGGGGACAGAGAGAGCGAGAGAGGAGGGGACAGAGAGAGCGAGAGAGGAGGGGACAGAGAGAGCGAGAGAGGAGGGGACAGAGAGAGCGAGAGAGGAGGGGACAGAGAGAGCGAGAGAGGAGGGGACAGAGAGAGCGAGAGAGGAGGGGACAGAGAGAGCGAGAGAGGAAGGGACAGAGAGAGCGAGAGAGAAAGGATAGAGAAAGAGAAAGAAATGGATAGAGAAAGAAAAAGAGAGCAAGAGGAGAGGAAGTGAAAGGAAAGGGGCAGGGAGGAACACACTCACACACACACACACACACAGAGGGGGGGGGGGGGAGAGAAAGGGGAGAGGGGAGGAGAGAGAAAGAGAGGAGAGGAGAGAGAGAGGGGGGGAGGGGGGGGAGAGGGAGAGAGTGATTGAGAA